AGGCTCTTCACAGACAGACTGGAGTTGTTAGGCTGGGGAAGAGGCTCCAGGGAGATCTTACAGCAACCTTCAAGTACCTAAAGGGGACTGCAAGAGAACTGGAGGGGGACAGTGTGCAAGGGCATGCAGTGACAGAGCAAGGTGGAACGGCTTCAAAGTGGAAGAGGGCAAGTTGAGCTGTTACAAAGGATTTCTCTGCTGTGAGGGTGCTCAGGCACTGAACAGGCTGCCCAGCAAAGCTATGGATGGCCCATCCCTGCAAGTGTTCAAGGCCAGGCTGGATGGAGCTCTGAGCAACCTGGTCTAGTGTCCTGTCCCTGCTCATGGCAGCTCACTGGAGCTACACAGTCCTTGGGGTCCCTCCCAAAACAAACCACTCCCTTACTCCAATTCAAAACCACAAAACAAGTTCTTCACATCTGGAAGACAGTAGCACATCATCTTAAAGAAATAGGTGTCAACAGAAGGCAGAGGAGCTAGAGACTATTTAGCCTAGGTCAAATTTACAGAAAAAAATCACTTAGCTGGATAATTGATACAACTATCAACTACCTAGAAAATAAGACAGTAAGAACTAATAAACACAGTCATGTAAAAAAAATTGAAAACAATCAAGTCAAACTAACCTTTGTTACTATGGCTGGAAAGAAGACCAATAGACATCTTAACATTTGACATTTCCACTATATTCTACAAACTGCTATAGAAACATGGTCTAATAAGAGCAAACTGTGGGCAGTTTAGTCAGTGCTCACATAACTACCTCATTTTGAGGCAAGCAGCAAGGATCCTTCCTTTGAAGGCTGTCTATCCTCATAAAACCCACAGGCATTGCAACACTGCAAGTCATAGGAAAGGATCAAAATTAACAAAGCTTGAAACTGGAGAGGGGATCTGAATGCAAAGGATATAATTCAGTTTAAACAAAAGCAAGAACTACACTCACATACATATTTAATGAACTGCATGAACCTGAAAAGGGGAGCAACTCAATTAGCAGAAGCTGCTGCTACAGCAGATCACAAACTGCTCTGAAAAAGGAAAAAATAGATATAAAAGCAAGAATTTGCAAGACACTTGCAGCAATCTTCTCATAGTCTTTGACATCAATACACCAGACAGACACTGTCGATTTTTAGCATCATATATTGAGAAAATATGGATGACTGAATTGAACATAAGAGGAGATCACTAAGAGTACTAAGGGTATAACATGCAATCACAGACTGAAATAACTCAAATTACTTGATCTAGGGAGAGGGGAAAAAGAAGCTATTAAGCAATCTTCAAATATAGAGAAAGCTGAATGAAAAGGATAAATTGTTTGCCTTCTCCACTAAAGATAAGAATAAAAGGATAAGAGGTGAAACAAGGAAAAAATGACTTTACAAAGGATTTCTTTGTAAAGAGCGGAATCACCTTGAGATCTCCCACAAACACACCAGACAAGAACTTGTCAAATACAGCTTTCAAACAGTCCACCTTGTTTGGCAGCAGAGGAACTGTCTGGTACTGTGCAGCATTTCACTTCATCTGTACTAAGAAGTTGCCTCTGATGCAAGACAGTAAAATCAGTGCACTCAGCATTGTTAAACATCAGCTGTGAGCTTTGGGGTTTCAGCACAGCAAGAAAAACTTACACTTGCCCAGCATGAGGGAAAAATAAAAAGTTCAAAATATTAACATTTGTCTCAACAGCACTAAATAGCTTAAGTGAAGTGATGTAAGCTGCAAGTAGGTGGCAAAAGCTGATTATTTACGTTCTTTCAAATCCTCCTAAGAGCCTGAGGAGATCCATGGCTATCGGGTAACTGATGCAGCTGTTGCCATCTACACAGACACAGCCCAGGCAAGACGGAGCTACAAGACAAATTTTCACCACCTGAAGGACTGACTTCATGGCTACAAGGACATCCAGACTAATTCCATTTTGCCCTGTTACAGTAACTGTATGACTAAGCCTTGCAATGAGTCAGTGAGTTCAAAAAGAGCTGTTACATTAATGCAACAAAATTTTAAGGAGTATTCAGGCATAGGCCCAAGCTGGATGATGAAAAACTCCCCATTTCCTCTCCCTGCAAAATTTAAAAGCTAATTCTCATTAGAAAGAGCCAGTTCCAAATTCCTCTCTGCTGCAAATATTCTCACAAATCTGTGTCCCTTATCTTCTAACAAGTAAAATTACATTACTCCTATCTGACACAGGTGTATTGGGAAGCAAGCTGAAAGGAGTTAGTTCTCAACTCTACAATTGTGAAAGCTAAGTAAATTACTTGAGAGATGCAGATTTTCCAGGTAAACTTAGGAGGACCCCAATTTGACCTCAGCAACAGAATTTACCATGCAATCTGACTCTTGTCACAGAATTTGATGACTTAGAAATATGCAGTACTTAAAACCAAAAAAATCACAAACCCACATCTGTCACAAAACAGGAAGTGGAAAATTGAGTAGTAACAAAAGGATTAACTTGAAAAACAAAAATTGATAAAACACACTATAACACTTTCCATTTCAGGCTTAGCTCAACCTTCATTCTCCTTTTTATAATACTTTTCTTGATCTTTTTAAATACTTACATTTGTCAGATTGATTACATGTGCTACACGCAATCTGAGAAACCACCAAAGAACCTCTTGTACCCAAGTGAGCTTCATTTCAATGTTTTAGTTAAAATTACCAAAGGAATACTCAAGTTTCTTAAAGCTGATGAAGTCCAAGACACATATTCAAAGCAGATTTGATAAAATCAACTTTCTGCTTAGAAAACAAATCCTTCCTCAACTAAGGCTGTACAACAGCTGCTAGACATTGCTCAGGCTGCCCAGGACAAGGAACACCACAGCACAAAGCTGGGGAAATGTAGGAACAGAAAACCAAACATATTTAAAGTTTCATCAAAATATACTGCAACAAGATATTAGAATCCCTTTAAAAGATTCACAAAGAACTTAGTGAGACAGGATAATGTTCTCAGTCTGCACAAAATGTAGCATGCCAAAAAGGAGAATACAAAGCTAACAAAACATTTTAACTGTAGCAGACCACATTAAAAAAAAAAACCTAAATAAACAGCCAAAAACAGAAATAAGAAAACCATAAGGAAAATTAGAACAAATAACTAGGCAACCAAGATACTGACTTCAATATTCCAGGAAACAAGAATGCTGCACAGAAGACACAGTCTGCTGTTTGCCTGTACATGTTATTTATACACCCTCTACCCCTTAGTTAGCAAAAATACAAGGAGCCAAGCCTTTTCTGTCAGGCAAACAAACTGAGAAGTGATAAAATGCCATGAAAACTAAGGCAAAAAATGAGGGATCACAAAGGAAAAGAAGACATCAGAACTAAACCTCCAGCCAAGTAAAATACAGCTTAGGCCATGGAGCTGACCAGCTGAATGCTGCATCAACACAGTTCAGCTTCTTTCATCTCCCACAGCCTCTCTCTGCTCCTCCTTCACTTACACAAAAATGGGGAATTAGGATTTCAACCCCAAAGAACACAGGACTGGTTTAACTAGACATCAGTGTTACCACTGTAATAACAATTTAAGCTATCATTCTAGTAAAATAATTCTATGATAATTCACAACAATAAAATCTGGGCTTTCATTAACTATTTCTTTAGGGCAGGCACTAGCACACAGCTATGCCTGTGTTAATGCAACCCAAGAGAACCAGCTGGATTTAAGGAACATCCTTGTAAGGACAGGTCCAGCTTTTCTTATCTAAACTGGCCAAAGAGCAGCTCTGGAGAGCTGCCCATTATGTGTTCAATGATTTTTATTATTAGTGTTTCAGTTTACGTACTCAAGAAAAACAGTGACTGTAGTTCACAGAACATTCATGTTCCATGGCAGTAGATATTTTCTCAGCCAACACTGCAAAAGTTCTTTTGCAGCAACATTTTAGTTCTGCATATCCTTATGCATAACACACACCTGAAATTTGTCAATACATGCAAGTGTTCTATGCAAATGTCTAGTCAGCCAAAGGGAAAAAACAGGCATGGTTTTCATGAAAGACATGACAGTGTAACTTACACTTGAACTCTAATCATCTCAAAAGTGAAGATAAAATAGTTTAAAGCTGATCCATACAACATCTAAGTTCACAAATATGGGAGTTAAAAGGGTAACTGTGAGATAAAGTTGATATAAATAACAGGACTGAGTTTCTGCATAAATTGTTTCATAATCACTGTAGGGGCTTTTTGCAATAACCTCATCACCAAGGTGAAAATCAAACAGATTTTTTCCTGAAAACCAGTGCTACAAATTATTTCTGTGCAACAGAAATGTATTTTCTACAGCAAGTTAATAAACAGCAGAGGTGATGCTTAATCAGCAGCTGTTGTTAAGAAAGTATACAGTCATTTCTTCCCAAAAAATAATTATTCTTTTGAAATAAAAGAATATTCAAAAGTTGCCAGTCATTCTTCCATTTAACTCAAGAGCTTTCCAGAGAATCCAGCCAAGTAAGGAGAAATGCAAAGGGATAAGGACCAAATCTGCAGCCACAATAACCCCAAGTTCTTCTTTGAGGATGGATTTAGAAAACCCAAACTACAAATGTAGCTAATACAACCTTGCCCTATGCAGGTTTTTGTGTATAACACTGTATTAAAGCATTTCAGTTTTATGACAATACAGACATATACTACTATTCAGACACCCAGAAAGCCACAGCTAAACCATTTTAACCCTCCAGAACTCATGGTTAATCTTCAGCTACAGAAACAAATCTAAAGAAACCTACACACACAAGCATGCAAACACTTGCCTCCCACCAAAAATCCAATTTGATGTCTCAGTTAACATTTTTATGTCTCTTCTCATCTTCAATAATGCAGAACTGACTTAAAGAAATCCCTTGTTTCCAGTCTTCTGTGTCATCCATATTGCAGAGCTAACAGCAACTACTCTAAAAAATACCCGTTCACAGTTGTTTGAAACCATTATATGACTTTAGAAAGTAAAATGCATAACCTCTTACCTGAGCATGAAAATTTGACATAGTCGTTGTCTCTATATCTTTCTTTCCCAAAATCTCCATTTTCACTGGTGAATTGGGAAAATTAAACGAAAAGTAGTCTAAAAAGTCAGGTAAATAAGTAGCTGCCCCATGAACAATACCCATTACATAGTAAGCTGCACAGTTTTCATTTTCACTAAAAACCAGACCCACAAACTCTTCTGCAAATCTCTCCATCTCCACAGGAGACAAGTGGGAGAGTTCATTACTGTAGGCATGGATAACTGATGCACCTCCGTTAGGCTGGTGCTCAATATGAATCAGCTGTTTGAACTCCAATGTGTCCAACCTTTTGAGTTTATTTTGAACCCGTGGCTCCTTTAACGAGACAAATGGAAACTCACTGTTCTCTGGTATCTTGGACTCACAGTCCTTCTTGGGATCCATATTTTTCCCATTGAAATCCTTAAGATGATCATCTATGATGCCTTTGGCTTCCTGATCCTCAATGTCAGAAACCAGTCCTGAGCAGATGGTCTGAATAGATTTGCTGTACATTTTTGGACGCTTCCTCTTCTCATTCTCTTTATGTTTCTTTTTCTTTTTCTTCTTAACTTTTTTAATCTGTAGCTCTTCTGCATTGGCTTTTGGTTTCTCCTTCCCACCTGTTGAGAGTTTAAAGAAAAGATCTCTTAAGGAAATTTTTATACAAAATATATATTTAAAGATTGGGATTCAAAGTCAGCAAAATGCTCACCATGGCACACAAAGCCCAGAGACCAAAAGCAAGGGTCACAACGTGTATGTTACCAAAAGTGAGCAGGGTAAGAGACACCTGCCATGTGCAATTGATAAATAAGCTGAGACAAAAAGGGAAAAGACATCACAATAACTCAAGTGCCCCAAGGCTGCTTCCATGAGGAGCTGCAGTCCATCACTCCCTTTAGCTGCCCCATGAAGTCCAGAGAAATCACAGGACAGCTGTCCAACACTGCCAGACAAGGGGCCTACAAACCATGCCTGGAATGCACAGCAGCAGCAAGCTGCCCACGAGATGCCACTGCCAGAACTGACCTTGTCTGATGGGCTTCTGCACAGGGGCACTCTTTCAAAACTAGATAAACTGTGCTGAAGAACACATGGGAACATCTAAAAACTCATCCCATACATATTATAACATAAATAAAATTAAAACAAAAGACACATTAAAGAAAACACTCACAAAAAATAAACTAGCGTCAAGTTCTCTCAATATACAAAACTGTCCTAAATGTCTAAAAGGCAGAAATTACTCATCTGGGGATAGCACATTCAAGTGATTCCCAAGGTAAATGTTCTCACTTGTTTTAAAAAAGTGAGAGGGTATTTTTGCAAGTAATAGAAGTGGCAGCCAAAAAACTTCTAGCACTATACTGCTCTAAGATCAAGCAGTCAAAATGATTTAGCACATCGTAAAACAAAGTTAGTGGGTATGTTTCAGCACCAAATTATATTCACACCAGGAATTCAAACCCAGCATGCAAACACAGAAGCTCTCAAGTTTAAAAATTGTGTATTTCATTGCAAGACTAAGTAATGTGAAATCTGCAAGAGTTAAGTTAGCCAGTCTCTACTACAATGTTGCAGTAGATTATTTTCAGTTTGTCATCCTGCATCCAAGTAACTTAACAAGAGTCCTTTAAAAAAAAAAAACCACACAACTGTTGGTGCATGGAATCACAAATTCTTGCTGGTGATTAAGAGGCTGGACATGGAAGATGCAGATACTGGAAAGGAGAACAAGCAATTGAGACACGTGGGTCTGAGTCTCCTGACGTTTGTGACAGCAGCTAAATACTTCTGGGATTCTTGAAGTGGAGGCAGATTTAGTTTAGTTATCTCCCTGGATTCTATTTTCTCACAGAGAGGGGAATGAGAAATGCCCTGAGGTCACCTCATTTCTTATTTAGTCCAAACAAGGAAATGGATTCTAGGATTTCTTAACCTAATCTACACAGTTAATAACTACAAAGACTCTCTTCACTCAGAATCAGATTTAACACTGCACACTCTCTGAACACAATTTCACTTTCAGCTAGCTCAGTTCAACTGCAAAGTTCAACTGCCAGTATCTTCATGGAAGTCTGTCCTTTCTTAGGCTAAATTTAATGCAAACCCAGCATCAAACCTCAGCAACAGGACTACATGTGGTAGATGCAATATTCACCACCTCTTGGTTAATATCCTCTTTCTGTCAGAGTCTGTAACTCTAGTGGGCATGAAGAGACCAGGAAGAGCAGCAACAGGTGTTCAACAACTGAGGACCTCAGCCTTAGAGGAGGCCTGAAAATGGTTCATTCAGGGTGCCAGGGTCCTTGTGTGTAATGTCACTACCTAGCAAAAATCACCTACTGCTGCCTTCTGGGGTACTGTGATGGTGCCACTACAGCACCAGCTCCAGGCAGTGGGAAATAGAGAAATGGTTTAGGACAGTGGGAAGTGACACATTGCAGGCTTTGAAATCTCAACACAAACCTCAAACTACAGACTCAGACATTTTTCCTCTCCTCCTGACTGCAGGAATACACAGCTGCAAAAAACCATCTGGGTATACAGGTATTGCAAACTCTTAATATTGTTTTAATGTAGCATTTTAAAATTGTTTCACTCTAAATATGAAAAATTTTTGCTATGCTGATGGATATCACAAAGAAGTCAATCATTCTGCAGATATTACATTACTGTGAATATACAAACTATGGAATTATTGCACCAAATGCTAGAGTAAGGGGATGCAGGGGGAGCAGAAATTACTGCCAACCCATTTCACTTGTTTTTAAATGGACATCAGATTTTTGTTCAAACTAGTCACTCAGATCTGGGACATGATGTATGGCAGAAAAGTACGGAAATTTGTATTTACTGGGGTTCAATCAGAGAAATATAAATGGCAACAAACTTCAAAGCAAAAAGCTATTGCTGCAGCAAGAGCCAAATCACTGTCTCCTACTTGAGCATGTTTCTTATCACCAAAGAAAATACTAAGACAAATGAAGATCAGCATCTGTACATTCTTGCTGAGCACCCAGCTATTAAATGACATTATATCATTACTAGCTGAAATGTAAAGTACTTATATAATAGGTGGCTATGAATTTGTATCTGTGCAAAACAACAAAAACTGCTGACTTCCATTCCTAAAGTACAAGAAGGAAGATGATCTGATTTTCTTTCAACCTGTACCATTCCTTTTGATCTTCTGAGAAGTTTTACAATTTCATTCAACTGCTTCTGTAATACCTGGCGGCAGTTTCTTTAATTCATCACTTAGCATATTTCAAGGATGCAGCTATGCAGTCAAATATTAAAAAACTAACCAAACAAACAATTCCACTGTTAAACAATGAAACAGGCTTCCTTAGAGAGGTGGTCAATGCCCCAAGGCAGGCAGTGTTTAAGAGGCATTTGGACAATGCCCTTAACAACAGGTTAAACTCTTGGCCAGCCCTGAGGTAGTCAGGCACTTGAAATGGATCATCACTGTAGGCCCCTTCCAACTAAAATAATTGAATTTTTCTAATCATCAGTGAGCAGCACTCAAAAGAGCACAGCCATGGTCTTGAAAGCAGTGGTGCCTTTCAGACAGAAACAACATAGACGGAATGCAAATCAGTCTCAAATTATGCAAAGTTCTTGTGAACATATCCAAAAAGGGTTTGTCTTCAAACCCAGTTGTAAAAGTACTTCTTATTTAGCTTGGTATGCATCTATGGGAGCACTTAAAACCTCAGAAGGAATTACACTAAGTCATTTTTTAAGTGAAGAATATTTCTCATTCCCTCTGTTTTCACACCATCTCTACAAAGCCTTCAGAAGAGATAGAAGTTTTTAACCAGAGGGTTAAAATTATTCCTTTTTGGGCATATAAAAAAAATTTTCCTCTCAGCTTTAATACATTGATTTTAATACAGATTGCTTTTACTTCTGCACACAAGACAAAAGAGTTATGCCATTTACACACATATCAAGTATTACAAATCATCATTGCACACTTTCTCAAATTACACCAAGTTGCAAAAATTATGCACACAAATTGTAATAAAATAAATATTTGCACACAAGCCCTTATTTCTGTGAGCAACTCTCTTTCACGGAATTTTTTGGATCTCTCTGTTTAAGGATGGAACTGAGACCAGTTTTAATTCTGAAACACCTGGAAACCAAGAGAGCAGCAATCACTGAAAGAACAAAAGGCTGTATAAGTAAAAAAACCACCAGAAGATCTGTGATGGAAGGTAGCAGGGCCCCCTGAACTGCTACTTGCAACTAAATGAGAGAAAAATGGTAAGTGTCTATCCTTGGGAGCCAAAACATCAATCCTGTCTTCAATGTCTGAACTACTGATGCCACTGAAGCAGAAAAAAGCCTTAAAACACAGAAATCAGAAGATAAAGAGGATTCCAAATGGGCTTTTTTCAAAACATTACTAGAATTAAACACTTTGAAAAAAATTGCATACCAACAAGAGAAAAACTTAGATCTCTAAAACCACTTCAAGCAGGAATTAGGTAACACAACTTCAAAAACTGCTTAGTTGTTTTGAGCCTTTTTAAAATTCACACAAGCTTTTGCTACTGCATACACAAGTTCTGTCAAAAACTCCATTTCCCCACAAGCAGCAAATGACATACATACAGAAAATTATTTGTACAGATACTTCATACACCCCACATTGCAAAGAAAAAAACATTTTAAAATCAAATTGTATATTGGAAGATTGAAAAAAATGTGACAATTATTCAGGCTATGACCCAGCAGAGCAATGTGTGAGCTCACTGCCAGATGATCCAACCCCCCCCAGTGTCCTCTGTCACTGCTGCTGGCACAGGGTCCTGCACCCCTGCTGCTCACCAACGGCACAGCAACTCCGTGGCTCGGCAGAAAGCCGCTCCCTGTGCTGCTGCATCAGGGAACTGCCTCCAGCTACAGAGGAATGAAAGCACACAGGCCACCGAGAGCAGGACACGGGGTGCCAGCAGCACCCACCCCTCCTCGGGGCAGCAAACCACCCGCTCTGCTCAGCCACCCTGCCCCCACACCTGCTCCATCCACCCCAGCACTGAACAAAGCTGAATTCTTACAGGTTAAAAAAAAATCTCACCACCTCACCCAACAGTGCATTTATGAGAAGGATCAGTTTCCTAGGAAACCTTCATAGAAATTTTTCTAACCCGAACATTTGAACTTTTAAATTTAACAAAGAAATGATAAAATGTACCTTTTAAAGGTAACATTTCAGTTAATTTATCTGTAATACAGATCAGACTACAATGTCTTCCATCTATCCTCTTGCAATGAGTGTGGGTGGTGCTTGGTCTCCACACTGCTTTGACACCTGCATATACCCAATTTTAGAATACTTATGTTCAACTATTGTAGTGTACAGACAGTTCTCCTGAGGAATACAAACACAAAATAAAAAACTGATTTCTAGAAGTAAATAGCATTTCTCAGTAAAGCTTGAATAGAATATGACAGATAGAGAAGGAAGCACATTTCTAGCCTAAGGCTTCTGCTCTGATGAATTTCAAAGATCCACTCTGAAGTAGATGTTTAAAGCTGCTCAGAAGCTGCAAACAGTTAAGAACAAAAAGAGTTAGCTTGCTGGAATACTGGAATTGCTATC